ACTAGTAAACACATTTTTCCCGTTAGGCATGTTCTTAAAAATCTGATTAAATATATAACATATAAGTCCTTAAATACTGCAGTTTGCACATGCTTGATAGAACTGTGCTGACCTGGAAATTAACAAATTCAATTTGTTCCAACCTAAACAGTTCAGACATATTGACTGGAATAAGCACGCTGCATTCAGAAAACGAGGCATGCTTATTCCCAAACAGCTCATGTAGATAAACTGAGATAAGCATTCTGTAATGCTAGACACCAGAACTGTGAGTGGGGATACCATCTCATCTGTGCTCTCGGTGCTCAGTGCACTGAGGAATCATCAAATGCAGAAGGGTAAAGAACATGGTGCAGAAGGAAATATAATAGGTCCCTCAAAGTCTTTGAAGGACTGGAAGCACAGTGGACCAGAAGAATTGAGGGAGAGGCAGGTACACAGAGAATTGAGAAAGATTTGTTGAATGCAATAGCAGAAAGATCTATAATCATTAAAATGCAGTTCTCTGCTGTACCTGCAATTAAACCCAGATTCTTGAGTTCCTTTATTTGTCAGCATCAAACTGTAAAGCCAGTAAGATAAAATACCTGTCTATGAGCGAGCACTGGTGGAGAAAGATTTCCTGTGGAAACACTGGTTTTCCATCATGTAACTAAAGAGTATATCATAATGCAAAAACTGAAGGGGACTGAATTAAGGGTGCACAGGGCAAAGTTAATTATGGCTTTTCCTAACATTTAAAGCTTTGACTTTAAATAGCACAGGTTTTAAATATGTGTAATAAGATGAAGCTTCTCTTCATCCCATAGAATGTAAAATATCCACTGGCAAACATTGCTAAAATAAACCATCAGCACACACAGAACCAAATTGTAAACTTCTTGTTCACACTGGTCATCCATTACCCAGACAAGGAATCCCACTGGAGTCACTATTTACCAGTATGGGCAAACAATTAACAATCTGGCCCACAATAAACCCTTCCTATTTTCTATTACTGGATAGGGCTCATCAGAATAGAATAACTGAGGTAGCTGATATACATTGTAAAATAAATCCATTATTTAGCGTGTGCTTTTGACAGTACTTTTGACAGTAGTGACATTGCAGATTTTCACTAACTTTTGACAGTAGTGACAATGCAGATTTTTACTAATCTTTCATTTTTAAGTTGACAAAATAATACCAGAACTTATAAGACATATATACTACTAACTTAACTAAATCTATAATAAATGGTTATATTGTGTTGTGAGACCTAGAAGAATACTGCAAAGTAATGAAAATGTGGCTGTTAGCCCATCAAATGTGGCCTGATCATCATTATGTGTAAGTTTGGTAGCTACATCTGCATACTCTTACTATACAAAAATACAACTGCTTTATAATACTCATTTGCACTGCGATATCTGAGGCACTAGCTCCATTGTTTTTGGTAATTGTTAAGTATGTATAAGACATTGCATGAAAAGTTATTGAATAGCAAAATATAACTGCTTCTGGTGTTCTGTACATGACAAAAACTGTTCTATGAGCAATATGAAAGGTCATTTTGTGGCACATTATGTTCCTGATCTTTGATTATAGCCAAAGAGTTCTCATTGCTCTCAAAAGGGTGGCGGGGAGAGGGGAAGCTTTGTAAAGGTGGTTTTAAGGAACCTTTGCACGCCTCTTTTCCTAATCTCTTAAACAGACAAGTATCAAGACAAAAATTGATCTTGTTTGTACTAGTTGTGTTTGTCATGGTAATTCTTGATCTTTACAATCTCCTTTTGCTTGTCCATAGCAGCGCACCAGCAGTGGTGGACCAGTGCTTCCTGGTCCTGGAAATTTCCTTTCTTTTACCACGTGAATCTATCCTGGCTGAACAAATCAGGTTTAGCACAATAGAATAAAGCAAAACTATTAATAGCAGGAATTACTATGGCTTTTATTTCGTAACTCTCCTTGCTATAAATAGAATATGTATTAATAATGCCTATAATTCCTTCATAGCTTAATACATGATGGTTTGTGGAAAGAGTAATAAGCACTTTTTGGGTGTGTGTGTGATAGCTATAGGTTTCTACCCATGCATCAATTAAAAAAATAGCAACAAATGAGATTTACAAACTTATTGACAAAACCTATATATTTATATGTATGTGTCTTAAAGGAACAGAAAAAGTTTAATAGGAGGTGGAAGGGATCACAAGATGTAAGATTACATGACATTAAGTACATAGAGGTGAGCTGAATATAGCTGCACATATTGACACATGTAGGCACCAGAACCATATGCTAAACTACATTTATCATTCATCTTTTATCATTTTCCTCTTCTATCTGATCACTGTCCCATCTCTCCTGGGGGACTTGGTGCAACAACTTTCACCAGCCTTCAGTTTCAAAATAATTAACCTACCACAGACATGGTAATTCTTGTCCTCAAAATATGGTGTTTCTCTAGAAAATTACACTGCTCAAAAGTGAACTATGGGCAATAGTCAGTCTCAAATATGCAATGGTTGAAATTGCAGTATTCACAATCCTGTAGGGCAAGATGTGGAAGTTTGATGGAAAGAAAGGTAGGATGAGGTTGTCAAAAATGTTCACATTTGTATTTTAGTCAATAGGAGTTTTGCTTTTGAGTTCAATTGGAATAGTTAAGTTCTATACTGAATATTTTTTAAAATGCTATCATAAATCTTTACAGTATTTTTAATATAGTTGTGTTATGAAATATGTGGCACATATGGAATACCTGATGGTGTGTTGGGACATAATGGCTTCATTAAAGTGACCTGTTCAATTCATTCTTGACTTTAATTTCTGATTTACATAAGTTATCTGAGAGCAGAATCAGACCCACTGAAGTACTTTTGATTTACACCTGTGTAATTGTGATCATAATCATAACCATTTTACTTTAAATAAAACTAATCTATATGGCCATCTACCTTTTATTATTATACCTTGCCTATCTACCTTTTATTATTATACCTTGCCTAGTGCTATGCATTGGATACCATCTTGAAAGATTTAATGCCAGATCACTACATTGTGTATACGATACATTTCAACACAGGTTAAATTCAATGTGCTAAATCTCTCCAACTGAATAACATCACCCTTATGTTTTAAAACATGTCAGTTTCTCTTAAACTATCATTCTTCTTTAATATTTAATCAGATCAGATAAATGTGTTTCATTTGGCATTAGCTGTGTGTCACAATAAGATAAGAGACAGGAAAGCTAATAAAATTGATTGGTAAGGTTAACCAGATGATGTCTCAGAATGTATTCGCTTTTAAGTAAAATGCATGACTATTTAAAGTAGATGTTGATTTAGTATTGTGGCTTTGTGCAAGGGACAATTTGTGAATGAAGGCATCTGAAAGAAAGCTTCACAAGCCTAAAGATTCAGTTGTTTGCTCTCATTTAATAAAACTCAGCTGTTTACTTTGTTTTTTTCTGAGACAGTTTAGAGTACAACACGATGCCAGTTGTGCCTCTGCTGGGTATTGAAGTGTTAGTAATGCAAGATGTCAAAGTGGGCTTGCATGAACTGTACATGGACACTCAATTTAGGATCACAAATTAACACTTCATGAAGTTCCTGGTTTGTAGGGTCACCCAGAAAGAGGGATTATCAAAAGCAGAAGAGATGAATCAGAAGTTGACCACAGTGAAAGGAGATTAAATATAGAGTTATTTCCCTACCCCCTTTCTTCCTGTTTTCTTTCTTATTTCAAGTCATTTAGTGACCTAGGGTGAAATTGACAGGAATTGACAACACACATGCTGTTGCTAGCAGCAGAGTCCCTGCAGTTAATCCCTAGACATGAAAGGAAGAAAAAAAGGGAATCAATTGTTATATTCTAAACATGACATATGTAAAGATAATGGGTTTGATTTAGTAGAAAATGACCCCTTTCTCCTGCAAAAATAATCCCAGCGCTATGGTTCAGACGAAGGGGAGGTGATTACTTCTCCCCCCACCCCCTCCCCGTGCACAAAGGAAACGTGGGTAGATACCATTTTTATTGTTCTTCTGGGGTGGGTTTCAGATCTCGCCTTAGCATTTTGAATGGCTAATTGAATCGGGGGCTGTTTTAATCTTGTTCCTGTAGAGGCAGCCGGTGGAAAGTCCCAACAAATGATTGCTTTGGCTTGGGGTTAGCCCGGTGCTATTACCCCAAGAAAGAGAAAAAGGAAAGGGGGAAGGGAAATACGAAAAGGCGAGTTGGACTGAGTGATGCTTGGAGGGCGAACTCCCGTCTCTTTGGTGATGTTGTGTGCTGCCGTGCTGAAATCCACCCCTCCTCTGGAGCCCAGGCAGTGGGAAGAGTTGGAAGCATCTGATGCTGCCGTTACCAGGGTGAAATTTCCACGGCTGGCCACCGAAAACAACCACCACACAAAAAATCTCTAACACAAATAGCCGGCAGAGAAGAAGATCCGACAACTCCCAGTCCAACCAGTGTCACCTAAGCAGACGTTGAACAGACATCTGCCTTTGCACTAACCGCACACAGGCTCACCAGCGCACACAAAAGAAACAACACAAATAAACGCCCGCCACACAAACCAGGAGCTAGACACAGAGCTGGTATGAAAGAAAGAAATCGGCCCCCCTTGTTTTCTTCTTCTTCCCCCCTTCCTTCCCCCTCCGAGTTTTGCAGCGAGCTGGGGAGGCTCGGAAGTGGCTGGCAGCGCACAAGGCTGCTGCTGCTAGCAGAGGGCTCTACAGAGCTAGTCGAGGTTTCAGCACCACGGACGCTGGACAGCTCCCGGCACGCAGCGCAGCCGCCCGCCTGCTTCTCCTTCCCCTCTCCCCTCGCATTACTGTACAGCTGGAGATGCATCTAAATTAAGTCCTATTCAACAACAAGTAGATCTCTTCTGTCCGGGAGCTGCACTAGACTCGCCTCTCAATTAAACTGCATTTGCTCCTCACGGAATTGGCCGTCAGGCGTAATTATCCCGATTTTTTTCTCTCTCTCTCTCTCCTTTGCAGGAACGACTCTTTGGGAACCTGGTCCGCCCAGGGATGTAAAACTGTGCTTACCGATGCATCCCATACGAAATGCTTATGTGATCGTCTCTCTACCTTCGCCATTTTGGCTCAGCAACCTAGAGAAATAGTAAGTAACAAAGACAAAAATCCAGGTTTAATGCAAAGGCGGGGGGGAGGGGGGAAGGTGGTGTAGTGTTCTTCCCAGCTTTATTTCAGACGTTGCATTGAGGGATTGTTTTAATATTGCAGTTTGGCAAAATGAGGATCGTCTCCTGTTCACCCCAGCAGCTCAGAGAAATGATTTCCACAATCTGTGCTAGAACTAAATTGTAGTCTATTTCAGGTTTCTTCCAACTCTCAATTTTCTAGGAAAAGGGTTCTAATTGTAATGCAAATGCATTGGGAACTTTCATATCAAGCCATTATCAACTTACAAGCTTTTAAAAGGATGTAAACCTCTCAGAGTGATAGAGAAGGTTTTATTATTGCTACTGGTAGGAAAACCCTAGATACTGTACTTAAACAGATTGCAGATCTGCATTGGACATTTTCAGCACAGGTTTTCTATGCTGTCTGTTGACATCTTGTAAGAAAAATAATCAAGCATGCATGAAACAGTGGGAGACATCAAGTGTATGAGCAGTCAGTCTAAGCATCATTGCATTAAACTAGTTGGAAAGGGAATATTTGTGAAGTTATCCCCAGAAGGGATTTCCTGTTTTTGGAAGTGCCTGATCAGAGACTGTTTTTACTAGTGAAGCAGAGCTGCTTGAAAACAAAGTGGATGAAATAAAATGTGACTTTCTGTCTAAAATCTGGCCTAAAAGTACATTAGTTTTATCTCATGTTTCAGTGACAAGAGATGTCTTGATAAAACATAATTTGCAATGCATCCCTGAGGCTTTAAACACCATTTTGGTAAATCATACAGAACAGGTAAATCATACAGAACATCCTTTCAAACTTTTAAGTCTACACCTTTTAGATTGTAGTAGCCTGTACCAGGTTTATTTCAGAGTGCACACACATGCACAAAATGAACAATATTGATTCCAGAGTGAATAGTTTGTATTTCACACAAAAAAAGCAAATCAGTCTTTCAAGGTCATCTATTGATTTTCAGCTGTAATTAATGAAGGAAAGCTCAATTAAATAATTCTAGATGTTCCGCTTCTTCATAAGGGGTATAAGATATTTTCTGTTCTTTATATTGCCATTTTCCTATATGAGTTGAGTCCCAAATAAATTAAGTGTGTGAGAATACTGGACTCAAGACAAAGTTATCAGAAGTCAGAAAGTTTGGTAATACTGCAGTGAACATGAATCAGATTTTTGGCCAAAATACTGGAAGACATTTAACAGAATACAGTAATAACATACTACTTGTTTATCGCATTACTTTAAAAATATTTCTCTCCCCCAAAGGAAATAAGTATTCTAATTAATTTTAACAGCACAGCATTTAAAACCTGAATTTATGTTGTAGTCTCCTATTAAGTTATAGTATGACTCCTGTTCTTTACTTTACAAAACATTATGTAGGTGGTATAATACATTATTTTAATGCTACTAGGCCTCTGGGGATGATAATCAATAATTAAGGAGATCTTAAAGATGTGTATGGATCAGATTAGGAATGAAGTAGATGTCTGCTTGATAGGTAATAGTACTGAGGCTAGTTTTGACACACTGGTGTTTTATCTTTTTTTCTTTATATTGTTCTTTTTTGTTTTGATGTGCCATTTTAATTTCTGAAAGATGGTTTTCCCTCATATCTGTTTATTGTAACCTACAGATCATGGAATCATCTGGTACACCCTCAGTAACCCTAATAGTAGGCAGTGGTCTTTCATGTTTGGCCTTGATCACCCTAGCAGTTGTCTATGCAGCACTATGGAGGTATGTAATGGATTTATAGGGTTGAACATTAATGCATACTTATCTGGATTTAAATTAGTAGCTAAGAGCACAATTAGTTACATGCTTATCTTCTTTATTTAGAAAAAAAATCTGCTTTTCATAAAATGTTGTGAAATGACCAACAACAAATTGAATTAGTATAACTGATTTTCTTATCTATCCTGGCTTGTAAGTGACAATATAGTGCTTAATTTCACCCCTAGTTCTTCAGATTTAATGATATTGTCCTTTCAGTGAGGTAGTCATACAACAAATAAGCATTTTTCAGGGTTCATCCACAAGTAAAACAGTTAAATAATGTTTACACTTGATCCATGGCCTATGGGCTATTTCCTGACCTACTTCTCCATTTACATTGGAACATGAAGTCTATGAGTAATAAAAAAGCTACATTTCAAAGTCACAGAAGTTCCAAGTTTTGGAGGTTGACAGATGTTCAACCTACTTTGCCCATTTCAGCTACATAATTCACTGAAGGGCACAAAATGTAGCAGTCTGCTTTTGAAAAACATGTTTAGGAAGGACTATTTGGCACAATCCAATATTGAACTTGCTTTATGTTTCCTACTTTCAAATCTTGTCTAGGAATATAAATGCAACTGAGAGTCATACAGAAATTTTATCTGGGTTGGGATTTAAAATAAAAGGATAAATAAGTGTGGAAAAAGAAGACTGAGAGGAAACACCTGATAAAATAATGAATATTACAGTGGGAGTGAACTGTTGGCTTCTGTTTGCCCTCTTCCATAATACAAGATAAAAAGGCACAAGAAGAATACAATCTTAGAAATGTAAAATTGACCAATGAAATCTGATGCTAACAGAAAGTACTGAAGTAAACAGCTTAAGAATTTGACACATGCCCTCTCTTTTTCACATATATACACACAATTAGACAGATATTTAATAAATATACCCAATCTAGTTACATTAGTCAGTACAAATATATAAAACTTATCAATCAAAGTTTCCAGAGAAATATACATTCAAGAAGTTCTTCTCACTTTCCCCAATGCACAGTTGGTCAGGTACTTTCTGTGGTTATTCCTGCCTCTTCTGACATTTCTATTGTTGTTGGTAAAAGGCCATCAGGGAATCGGTACTAGTGTTGATTTCCAGTGTGACAACTTTCAAGCTGAGAAAAGAATTGTTTAAAATGATAAGGAAGGCCCAAACAAGGGCATGAGTGAAACACAAGAGAGGACAATTTAGACAGATATCAGGAAAAGTTTCCTTTCAGTTAAGTGTTTCAACTGTACAATGGTGATTGGCCATCTCCTCATGTTGATTATTTAAAGTTGGATTGAGCAAGCAGGAATGTACTTTAGTCAACAGACTTGCCCTGGGAGAAGGATAGACTCTGATGGTAATCATTTTTTCCATCACTTATTGTTACATTTCTATGAGCATGGACATATCATCCTTGTGCATATTTTCATACTGCAGAAAATATCCGAAGTTTGGCTTGAATTGAAACTTCACACAGGAAACATCAACAACTGTAGAACTGTGGTATTATTAGTTAGAAGTAGTGCTCTGTAAATAATGAATCTTTTGGTTTGGCCCCAATTTGAAAATTCAGGGGGAAAATTCTATTTGGATCTAATAAAAAAATAAAAATTGGGTTTTTTCCCCTCATCCAAATGAAAAACTAGAAAGCATTCATTTTCATTTCAGGTACTGTTCACAAAACCAAAGCATTAGGAATGAAACGCTAGACACTGGAATAAGGTGCATTTGCTAAGTTTACATAGATTTTGCCTGGCTCAAAATACACTTGTGGGTCTCTAAATTAATGAGCATTTTAATTACCCACATTTTGAAGATACCCCTATGCTTTGCCCAAAGCTCCAATTTTTGATGTTGGGATCCAGTTCACTAATAATGAGCTAGAGATTGGTAGTGATGTGATTATATAGACAAATGTACTATTTTGTATTCATCTGCAATAGCACATATCCCCCTTGCCATGATATCAGGCTTGGTCTGTACTCTTCTTTGAAAAATGTCATGGCATCCTTAACTTAGATCAAGACAGGTGAGCAAAGAGCACTTCAAACAGATGCAGCCCATGTTCACTAGTGCCCTGAAATTCACTCATGAGCATGCACCTAAGTGCAGATCAGCTGAGCCATATTAAGAATTGTATTAGTAAACTGTACAGTTTTCAGAGAAATTGGCATTCACATCCCCCATTGATTATAATAGGCAATATAGGTAACCAGCATTTCTGAAAAGCAGACCAGTGATATGCTTAGGTTAAATATTTGTCGTTGCTTTAGTATTCTTTAGCACATAACATATTATGTTTTAAAATGAGAGCATTCACGATTTATAAGGAAGTAGCTGATGAAGAATTTGTACTTTGTTATCCCATCAACCATTTTCATAATACACTTGTAAAATGAATAATATGACAGAAGTTGGCAATAGAGACTATGTAATGCTCACTACTATAATTTACTCTATATATACAAAAATCAGCAATTTTTGGTATTTGCTTATATGAACATGAAGGACTTGCTGTATTTCTGCTTCTGCACACAAATTATGTTTTAAATGTAGCTTAACTTCAAGATTAATGTATGTGTTATAATTACCCTAATAAAGTAAGCGTTTAAGAATGCACTCCCATGGTATAAACTACTAAACTACATCTTAATTATACATTGTAGGCCAGATCCTTTACTCATGTAAATCAGCATAGCTCCACTAAAGTCAACTGCAATGGAGCTATACCGATTTATGCCAGCTGTGGACCTCCCTTTCTCTGAATATTCCCATTAAGGAGCAGGCAAAATAAACTTACTATTGATCTGAATTTATGCAGTCACATTATTATCCATATGATGTCATATCAAGAATACCAACTGATCTTAATGGAAACACTGATACAATCTTGTTTATGATGTCTTGAGACACAGAAAATCAGAGGTTATGTAATGTAAAAATAGCCTTTCCAAATGCTATGTTTATATAGTATCAGTTTAATAGCAAATTTACCTTTGACATTCTGGCAACAGAGCTCTTCAGCTTAAAGTATTGCCAGAATTCCTACGAATTGCATTAAAGTTTTATAATTGATCTGCTATTTTTATTTTAAATGGCTTTAGAAATGCTTTATTCTGTATTTTTCTATTTTGACAGGTACATCAGATCTGAGAGATCAATAATTCTGATTAATTTCTGCCTATCTATTATCTCATCAAATATCCTTATACTAGTTGGACAAACCCAGACACAGAATAAGGTATGAACAATTATATTGATTTGTGTTTGAATATCTATTTATTTATTTGTGTTTATTTTATTATATTTAGATACAAATCCATCCTAACAAGACTGGAAAATCTTTGTGGTAAAATAGTAACAGGCAAAAAAATTATTTAACATATGTCCTAATATTTTTCTTGCTTCCAAAAATCCCTTTTGGTACTATTCCTTCTGGATAAGCTGTGTTCTCTGTGGTAGACTTGTGTTTTATAACTAAATTTCAAAGCCTAAAAAGTTCAAAGACATGAAACTTCAAAAGCACAAATTCTGGCTCATTATCATAGTTGTAATAGGATTGTGCTACAATGTTTTTTGTCTTTTTATTAACAACCTGACACTCCAAAGACAAGTTTAAATTGTTCAGAAGTTAAGAGTACTACTCTTGAAAATGTGCGCACTCACAAAATAATGTTATAGCAAGGCTGAAGGGGCACAATACAGATACATAATCATTCAAACTTGCTTGCAAATGGTTATAGATCAGTAATATACCTTATTTACTGTTGAACTGATGGTAATCACAGCAAAACTTGTTTCAGCCTGTTAGTGGAGACAATCAATATTTGTCCTTTTCTCTGAAGCAGGCCATCGTTACCAGTTGAAGTCCTTTCTATATTTTGGGTGATCACAAATTTCCAAGTGAAACCAGATAACTTTTCTGAGAAAAACAAAACAGTTGTTTTAAAATGTAATAAAACTACTCAAAAAGTTGAGAAAACATAATGTAATTGTTGTGTGGGATTGTAATAGAATACTGTTAAATTTTGCATTGAACAGGAGTTGTCTTTAAGAAATAATACATCTTGTTCTTATAAAATTCATACAGTTCACTGAGTATGCAATAAATATATCATTCAACTATCAAATCACAATATATTTTTGACAAAAAACCTAAAGTTCAGGCATAATTTCCTTTAATCCGGCAGTTCCCAATCTGTGGTACACATATCACCAGGTACGCAAGCAACCTGTCAGTGGTATGCATTAACACATTTATTATAACTACTTTATATGACAAAAATACACTGGTGGTACTCAAGGTTGAACTGAAAAATTTGCTGGTGGTACTTAAGGTTGTACCATTTTAAATTGGTGGTGCACAATCTGTCAGAGTTTGGGAACCACTGCTTTAGTCCACTCCTCCAAATTATTTATTCTTTTAATCTAATACTTAAGAAATTAGCTATATAACTCAATTGCTCCAATTCAATTAGGGCAAAATGGTAATACTTTGAAAAATATACCTCAAATATATACGTATAAATTACTTTAATATATTATTATGAATTATTGTATAATTATCTGTTGTGGGCTTGCAGAAAGAAGCAATGCAGCTATCATTGACTTTAACAGAAACTGTCCAGCTGCAGATTTAAAAAGAATATATTCAAAATTGTTCAAGTGACTAAGGAGCCTATTTCATGTTTGAAATGTGTTTCACTTGGAAATGTGTCTCGTTTTCTAATCCAACTCATTTGAAAACCTTCACTCTACTAAATGACTCTTCAATCTTCCCGCTTCTGTTTTTCAGTCTCCAAAGATACTTGGCTATTTTCTCAAATTCTTTTTGAAAATAGGAAAACCTATGAAATGGGATCTTCCGAGGGAATCAATGATGTAGTGATGTAGGCCTAACAAAATTTACATTTTAAATGCTGTGATCTTAAAAAAAAACTTAAATCAACAGAAGCACATTCTTCTCTGTACATTTATACTCTCTGCAATCCATAATTGCCCTTGATACATCTACAGAATTGATAATAACAAGGGAGAATATTAGATGGATCAAGGGCTGAGCATGGTTCTTTCTTTAAAGCCATATTTCCTTTGTCACTTAACAAAATGAGTTTTAAACACCATGCCCATTTCCAAGCTCCAGAAAAGCAAGCTGTGAATATGTCTAGTATATGAAATTACTGTGAATTTAGCATATATTTGAGTCCATTTTTGAATGACTATGCCCCTAAGAATGTGGTTTGCTAGAACTTGGATTTGAATGAATTATTTGTTCTTTATTTTCTATGTTAATGTATGAAGAAAAATATATTTTGATTTTTAGACCCCAGGTTTAGATTTCCACAACAGCTAGATGGGAAATATCAGTTTGACTTACAAGAAGAACTATATCTTTCCCATGCTGAAGAGGAAAGCCTTTTTGAAATTAATCTTTTATTTGAGTTGATATTGATGTTATTCCCTAAAAATAAAAACCAATTACATTTGTGGAGTGGATTATAGATTTGGGTGGCAAATCCTAAAGTTCTTACCCAGGAGAAGAATTTATTTCAAGACTGAAAGAATTGTTTCTTGGTGAACAGTCATCCTTTGGTATTTAAAAAGTAATTGGAAATATTAAAAAATGAAAGCACAAGAAGAATTTTTTCCATGTATTATAGAGATGGACCTCATTTGTTAGGTTTGATTTCTGTTGTGTTCCATTTTCATTCTTGTACCAAGGTATCTGGGCATTTAATCAGTATCTGTATGCTCATGATGACTTCCACAAAGTTTGAGAATGTTTACCACATTTGATGTTTTGATTCAAACTGCTATATAGGCCAACATGTGATTTTCATAATTAGATATAAACCAGAAACAGGGTTCTGAATTTCTCTGTTTATGCATGTGCTTTATGGAGAATAAGAGGTTTGGGCCTGGTGAGAACCCAGTTCTAATTGTAAATTGGAGCAGTAGGTAAACTTAAGCAAAACAAAGATGTGTCTGCTACAGAAAGAATATCTCTGTCTTGATCTACGGTTTGTATATTTCACTCTTTGCTTTAACTAATTCACAAACCAGTTTTGATTTCTTTACAAACTTCTCCAACTTTGAGAAATCCCTGTTCCTGTAAGAAAAGTTCTGTGCATTCTGTGGCAATGTATGAATAAATTTGGCTCTTCTGCACTGCCAAAGTGAAGGTTATTAATTCATTTTTATTTTTTGTTTGTTAAATATATCACAAGTATTCTGCATGTTAGCTCTAGCAACCGTATCTTAAGGATGATTGTCTCTTTTGTGGTTTTATAGAACTTTCCTATGTTTATGAAAAATTAATGAGGACTAAGTGAGTTTGAAATGCTGTACTTTCTCTATTTAAAGTAGATACTGTCTTTTTTAGTAAAAAAAAAAAAAAAGGTCATGATATTTCCTTCCAGCAGAAATGGACACACTGTGTACAGATAAGGTTCTGCAGAAGTAGCTTAAAGTCTTGAAAGCTGGTAGAGCTTTTAAATTTCAAATACTTGAGGTTTAAAGGCAGAATTTCCTCCTTCTCAGTATGTGAACTAGTTTTTTTTTACTTGAGATTTCAGACAATAGACCTGAGGTCTAGGCCATAGAGCCTTTTAACTTGTTTTAAGATATTTGGTGCAAGCAAAGGATGGATCCTATTGGAAGAGGTAGACTGGAATAGCTTTTGTCAGCAGAAAGTCATGTTCTTTTTATTCCTTCATAGCTGCACAGGTTATGCACTTTATTGAAAGACAGAAGTGAAAAGTGGTTTGCTTTCTTCAATGTGTTTCCAACAACATTTCCAAATAGAGAAAAATCTTGTTGAAATTCTCTTAAAGCATAAATCAACTTTTGATATGTTGTTCTATTAAGCCCATGTTTAGGTTGTTGGAAGCTGCGGTTCCCCACCTGCTTTGAAGTTGATTAAAATTTCCCTGATGATTCTTTGTGAATATAATCAGAAGAGCTGGATTAATGTGTAGGCAAACAAAGCACATGCCTAGGGCCCTGAGCTGCAGGGGGTTCCAGTCCTCCCCCTTGTGGCAGCAGAACGAATGACCCTATTCACCTCCCTTCCCTTCCCATCCCCTCAACCAGCCTCACCACTGTGGTGGATGCGTCCTGGTGGTGGCTCCTAGCCCTGCTCCCTGCGGGGTCTTGACCAGCCTGGGGCCTATGAGTTTGTTTATGTAGGGGCCACTAAAGGGTTAATTTGGCTCTGATAATCAGTGTTGCAGATGGAGTAAGATAGAAAGCATGTTGATTTATTCTTAATACTTGGATACTTTTTTCTGCAAAGTAGTGGTTTTCCTAGTTAAAACTATTGTTTAAAATAGTAACTGCATTATTTTACTTTAATTTGGGAATGTCTGTAATAGGATTAGAATTCAAAAGATCAACACAATCCTGTGTTTTCACTTTGTAGAGACTGCCATATTTATTTTAGGAAGTATAAGTGATTTGAGGGTCTGAGTGTATCATGTAAATAGTTTCACATCATCCATTTGTTGTTACTTTCTATGCAGTTGAGAAAGATGGGTGATTGCTTCTGTACATGGATAATGTTACTTAAAGCTAAAAATCTCAATTATGCTCCAGCCTTAATTTAACAAGTGAGATTCTTTTCTCTCCAATAAGTTATTGGGCCTTAGTATTGGGCCTTTTTTCTTTCAGTATATGCACATTTGGAAATGATCATATCAGAAACACTATCACTGTTTCATTAACAGTTGTTTGTAAATAACAACACATTAGCCATCTGAGGTAAATAAATACTGTTTGCATATTTTCCTTGTGAAGAAAACAGTCCTAAATAAAGTTTAAAATAACCAGCAAGATACATCCTACAGATGGGGGGAAGTTAATTCTTTTCTGTATTATCTGCTTCTGATTTTGTTAGCACATAGAGCTTGTGTGGGGGTTCTTGAGAAACAGGTGTCTTCAGGAGTGTAGGTTCTTCGCTTCGTTCACACTTACAGATTCTGTTAACTGTTTTAAGGGTTATGTGTGCCTATCAGGGAAAGAGACTGTATCTCTCAGGGGCAGTGGAAGGTAGATAGTTCATCACAATATGCTTAATATTCTGTGTCACCCTTGTCTAATTGTAACACATATTTGTTATGCTTCCTGTTATACCATTTTAGTGATAATCCCTTCTTTGCATTCATGGTTTTTAATTCAGCCATAAGAGCTGTTCCTTATTAAAAGTTGGAGCACATCAGGGGGTGGAGAAACAAGGCGGCAAAT